TATTAGGCTGGAGGCCATCGCTATTAGGTTGGAGGCCATCGCTATTAATTAGGCTGGAGGCCATCACTATTAGGCTGGAGGCCATCGCTATTGGGCTCGAGGCCATGGCTATTTATTAGGTTGGAGGCCATGGCTATTTATTAGGCTGTAGGCCATCGCTATTAGGTTGGAGGCCATCGCTATTATAGGTTGGAGGCCATCGCTATTAAATAGGCTGTAGTAGGCCATTGCTATAAATTAGGCTGGAGGCCATCGCTATTGGGCTGGAGGCCATCGCTATTAGGCTGGAGGCCATCGCTATTAGGTTGGAGGCCACCGCTATTAGGTTGGAGGTCATCGCTATTAATTAGGCTGGGGGCCTATATTAGGCTGGAGGCCATCGCTATTATAGGCTGTAGGCCATCGCTATTGAGTAGGCTGGAGGCCATCGCTATTAGGCCTCCACGTTATTCGGTTGGAGGCCATCGCTATTAGGTTGGAGGCCATCGGTATTGATTTCGTTGGAGGCCATCACTATTAGGCTGGAGGCCATCGCTATTATAGGTTGTATTGGCCATCGCTATTAATTAGGCTGGAGGCCATCGCTATTAATTAGGCTGGAGGCCATCGCAATTAATTAGGCTGGAGGCCAACGCTATTAGCCATCGCTATTAATTAGGCTGGAGGCCATCGCTATTCGGTTGGAGGCCATCGCTTTTTATGTTGGATCTTGATCTTGATTAGTAAATGCCCTCCCCTCAAACAAATTATGGAGGATCCTCCCTTTTCCTTTGCAGACTCAGATCTTCAGCTCAAGAAGCCCTCAGCACCCAAGCCCTCAGCTCAAGCTTGAAGCAATCTTTACATAAAGGATTGATTGAGGATTTGATGCTTTTGGGAAGCTGTGAGTTTTGAGGAACAACAGAAATCTAACTTTACTAATAATATATACTCCCAGCAAGCCAGCTATTGGCTTAGTAGTATTAAAAGCTATCTTAATTTTTCCAAGGGCCAGGCCAGGGTTGTAACACCTAGTGTTTTGTTGTGCTGCTGCTGGCTGCTTGCCTGAGAAGGGAGTGGGATTGCAGGGACAGGGTTCAGAAGGAACCATAATTAACCCCAAATATTTTTCATATATATAATAAAGAATTAGGATCCCCCCAAAAAATTGACATAATAGAGGACCCTTAAAACAAACAGGTGGTCAAGACATATCTTTCAAAAAATTGGCATTATAGAGGGCCCTATCACTAGTCAGCATCCAACATTAGGTTGGAGGCCATCGCTATAAATTAGGTTGGAGGCCATCGCTATATAAGGCTGGGGGCCATCGCTATTAGGCTGGAGGCCATCGCTATTAGGTTGGAGGCCATTGCTATCAGCTTGGAGGCCATCGCTATTAATTAGGTTGGAGGCCATCGCTTTTAGGTTGGAGCACACTGTGCCGCCCATCCAACTTGGCCCCACAGGTTCGTTCCGCGAAGCTTTCCATGGAGAGAGACCGACCAATGCTAGAGGCCCGCCGTCGTTGGTTCAACATGGTGCAAAAGACCAGTGCGAACCAAGTTGGTCATCCTAAAATGACATCGAGAAACAAAATTGAATAAATTTGGTAAGACGTTGGTGGAACAAGGTTTACAACAACAATGTTCATCCAATTTTCCGTTGATTTTCCGGAATTGCGATTGCAGTAATAGTTCAAGAGCAAACTGCAGCACTTCCAACAGACACAGATCATCTCCTTCCAGGCGCAGATCACAGCATTGTACGATGAGATCGAAGATGCTCCGATTCACGTGGCCTTCGGAGCCGAAGCCGACAGTCACGTTGCCGAGGCCCTGTTGCCAGTGAATGACCTTCGGTCTCCCTCAGTTCGTGTGATAACCAGCCAGCCGAATTGTCTTAGAAACAATTTTTTTTCATTGTCCAATTTTGTTCGTGGTTTGTCATCGAAGCCAATGAATGTTGATTTCTGTTAAATAGTTTTGTCACTGGATTTTGATTGCATGATTGAATCGAAATTCAAACAAACCCAAGGCTACCCAAGTCCAGAAAAATGCCTTGATCTCTTCAACGCCGATGTCTCTGGAACATTGCTCCGAGAAGTGCAAATGCGGTCTGGTGACCGAAATTTACCGCTGAAGGCGTTTTGGCCGTGGGTTGTAAATGTTGCGCATGTTTTTCTTTGGGGTGAAATTCTGAAGACCACTTTGCCTGAAAGGTTCTTGGAGGGAGTGTGAGAGAGACGGGGAGGGAGGCCATGTAAAGCATATCTTTCGGGTGTTTTGCCCTTTCTGGGAGCAGGCTTTCCTAAAGTTGCAGTTTGGAAGGTCGGATACAGAATTCCGCTTCTTTTCGCAATCGACGTCAGCAGTTCCAAGGTTTGCATGCTGTCCTTCATGCCCTTCTTTTTCTATGACACGTCCAGTTGCTTCTTTGCTTGTGAGAACACTGGTAGCTGCAAAAACTCCTTGAAATTCGAGGGGTTCTCAAACATGTCAGAGCTTTATATCGCAGATACCGTTCTGATGCTGACCTATGCCTTATGTATGTCGACACTATATCCTTGCCTCTTGCGAATAATACCCTTGCTGGGCTCACATGTCACAGGTTTGATGGGCGAAGCCCTCGTTGATTGTATGAGTGGCTGTTTGGCATACCTTCATGCATTCATGATGGCGGCTACAGTGCATGGGTGCTTTGTGGGGATGCTGTCTAAGGGGCCTTCCCCCCTCTGGCTGGTCCTATTTTCAATTGCATTTGCTTGGATGATTTTCTTGTGGTTTACTTGTTTCTTTAAACGTTCGGCGTTCGCTTGGATATCAGTTTCTGGCAGTAGATGCTTCGGAAACCTATCGTCGGCTGCTTGAAGCTGCTGCAGCAGTGCATTTGGAACTGCTGTCAAGCGAGAATCGCTCGGCATCATGCTTCCTCAAATAGCTGAAGAACTTTCTTGAGCGGCTACTGATGGGAACTTTGGAATTTCTATCCTCACAGGCCAGGACAGCTTTGTGGAGCCCATCTTGGAAAGGGACAAGGGAATTCCTTCTTATTCTTTTCATATAGTCATTTGCCAATTTCAAATCTTTAATGCCAGTGAAGATCACTTGGTCTTGCAATTTCAAATCTTTTAATGCCAGTGAAGATCATTTGGACTTGGACCCACAAAAAGCGAACTGTGCAGAGAGCCACGGACTGGGTATATAATGGTTTTAATGCTTTGGCTGCACCTTCATCAGTCAGCCCGCCTGGGATTGAGCTGTTCTATGCGGGGCACCATGAGGCGCCCCAAAGATATCTCCAGTCATCTCCACCCCGCTGAGCTCCCACGTAGATGTGCCACGATCGTTAGAGCAGAAGCCAAGCCTTGCATCGAGCAGCATAGCACGGCTCAGAAATAGAGTACAAACACTGACAAGTTCAAAAGCTAGTTTTGGTGGTCTCGAGATGTCTCGGGCCTCTCCAGATTGTTCATTGTTGAGCCCACATCCACCTCTCACCTATGCGTCACATGACCCGCACGACCAGGCCGTGATGAGTTCGGGCAGGTTTTAGGGGTGAAAGGCGCTGGCCAGGCAGAGCTGAGCCACTGAGGGTGCAAAACTGCAGAGAGATGCGTGTGGAGGTCTTCTTTTCTCTTGGGCAGTCAAAGGTGCTTGCAACTTTTCCAGACGTGCTAAGCAAATTTAAATGAATATGCTAGCTATTCTCAGAGGGTTGGCAAGTTGGCAAGTCTATGGTTGCCTTTGTTTTGGGATGTTTT